GGCTGTTTTTGATTTCTCAAACGACATCCCATGATATCCCATAAATGTTCTATTAGATTTAAAAGTCCGGACTCATTGAAGGGTGCGGACGTAACGAGACGTTTTTCTTCCAGAGACGCTGAGTGAAATTTGGAATGAAATTTTTCAATCTGAAATTAAAAAATGCATCAGTATGAAATCACGATTGCGCGAGGTAAAACAGCAAAAAGGAGGCAATACTTTCTACTAAATAAAAATAAAAAAATTCTACATGTACATACACACACACACACACACACACACGCACACGCATACACGCACGCACGCACGCATACACGCACACGCGCGCGCGAACACACACACACAAACACGATGTGCAAAATCCGACCGAGCAACCTCCCCGTGGTGCACATCGAGTTACGCAAATGCCGGCGATATCATTCTAAAATCGTAAAAAAACAAAAGTTACTTAAAATTGCAATATCTCGCTAAATAGTTGGCGTAGAAAAGTTTTTTTCTCTTTATTTTAAAGGGCAAAGTCTGTACTTTAAGATAGTAAGAATGATTATTTTCGCCAATTTATTTGTTAGGTGGTGAAAGACCACAAATTTCGAAATTATAAATGTGTTCAATACGTCTTCATTCAAAGCTGATCACGCCTTGAGTATTAACTGAGTAAATATTGAACAAAGGTTATTTTTGCTTCAATATTAAATAACTCAATAAAAAAAATCGGTGAAAAAAAATTTCAAGATAGAGCAACTTCGTGAAAAATTATCGTAACGAGATTTTAAAAAAAGCATTTTATAGCTTGAAATTTCCACTTTTCAAATCGATACTTTAGAAAACGACTAACTGAGTTTCTTTGAAACCACATAGATATAAATGAAGGTGTGACCAATAGCAAAATTTTTCCCAAAGTTTGCAAAGTTCCATGGCGTGGAATAAAAATCGCACATAAACACGGTTTACAGCTTTCGAAAGAATGAATCTTTCTCTTTAATTTGCTTTTTGTTGAGCGTCGTACGATTTTTTGTCACTGAGTTATTCAAC